TGGAGATAACAATATTCTGATGGCAGGATCAACCAACCTCTAGTCAAATTGTTTGGAAGACTCTCCACTTAGTGGAAGCTCCCTATGTGTGAGAATGTTAAGCTTGCCAATTTCTTACACGTTATTCATGCACGCACAGGGAAGCGGTAAAATCTTTCTAACCAAACCATGTCTTATAATACCACTCATCCGATTGATGAAAAAATGTTGCAAATATTGCTAATGACAATCAATAATCCCTGCTCCTATATATTTTAATAACAGTATTGAAGTGCTTAAGCACTCTGAAGTGTAGATTCCTGATTCAGATAGTGCAAATGCTAACCAAACACACCTTGGTTATGGTTAAGGTTAACTAAGACACACAAACTCACACTGATGTACCATTCAATTTAAATAGAATGATTCCTCCTCACTGTCCAAAATCAGGGCCAGAAAACATTGCATCTCACTCGAACCAGTACCCTTAATTCATGCTATTTGTGTGTATATGTATGTAATCTATCTACTTTAATTTCTTCCTGGTCAATAAGTATGTAAAATCATAAATTTGAGGATTAGTTATATTTGATTCTAATAATGCACTTTTAATAAATGCATGACTCTTCAAATTGTTCTTCTGTAGACAACCTAAATGAGAAGGCACTTTGAAAATTTAACGACTTTTTTTAATATTCATCATGGTAAATATAATCTTCAGTATGAAAATTATTATGTTTTTGGTATAGCATAAAAATGAGATCTATCAACTCTGTAGTATTAGTTAGTACTAATATAAACTTAAAAAGCAGTAGCTGTGCCAAAAAAATAATAAGTTTATCTCTGGTATCCTAGTGGAGCACAGTTTATGCCAAATACATAATTTTTAAAAAATTTTAATCACATTACCTTCTTTTCCTATAATTCCCCTGTGCAAGATCTGTCTTAATATGCCTTTGACAAAATTTCTGAAAATAGAATCAGGAGAATCTCATTTCCCTAGCTTGAGTTATTTTTAATTAATATACATTACGTTTCTTCACTAATAATTAGTGATAAAACAAATTTCATTCAAATAAACTTGATATTAGTAGAAAATTCTCATTATGCCAAATAGAACCTAGAACATTTTTCTTTTACTCTTAATAGTACCAGACTTATTAATTCTGTTTGGAAATAAATAGGAAATTTTTCATGATAATATTTACTACTACTTTATAGTCTTTAGTTTACCACATATTATATAAATATTCTCTAAATAATTCTTTTCTGTGTTGTTCCAATATAAATAAAAATGGCTTATCTTCAACCATTCATATGATCACAAACAACATTCTAAAGCTATTGTTTAATAGTGATTAATTTAATAGGCCTCCAAAACACGTTTATACTAAATAAACAGCACTTACGTGAATAAGCCACAAGGGTAAAGTGTGTTGGAATAAGAACAAAAGGAGAAAAAGGAGGAAGAATAATGGGAGTAAAAAGGGGGGAGAGAGATGAAAGAAGAATGGGAAGAAGGAAGAGAAATGCAAATTAAAACAATGAGATTCTACTACAAACCTGTTAGAATGGCCACAATCCGGAACACTGGCAACACAAATTGCTGGAGACAATGGGAGCAACGGGAACTATCGTCTATCGCTGATTGGAATGCAAAATGGTACAACTACTTTGGAAGACAGTTTGGCAATTTTTTACAAAAGAAAACATACTTTTATCATACAATCCAGCAATCAAGTTCTTTGATTCAACCCAAAGAAATTGAAAACTTACATCCATACCAAAACCTGCACTTAGATGTTTATAGCAGCTTTATTCATAATCGCCAAAACTTGGGAGCAGCCAAGATGTTCTTCGGTAGATGATGGGTGAATAAACTATTGTAATCCAGACAATGGAATATTATCCCATGCTAAAAAGAAATGAGCTATGAAACCATGAAAAGACATGGAGGAATCTTCAATGTCTATCACTAAGTGAGAAAGCCAATCTCAGAAGGCTACAATACTGTATGATTCCAACTACAGTAGTTCCCCCTTGTCTGCAGGCGGATATGTTACAAGACCCCCAGTGGACACCTGAAACTGAGGATAGTACTAAACCTTATATAAACTATGTTTTTTCCTATACATACATACCTATGATAAAGTTTAATTTATAAATAGGCATAGTAAGAGAATAAAACAATAATAAAATAGAACAATTGTAACAATAATCTGTAATACAAGTTATGTGAATGTGGCCTTCTCTCTCTCTCTCAAACAGTCTTATTATACTGTACTCACCCTTCTTTTGTTGATATGCGATGATGCAATGCCTACATGATGAGATGAAGAGAAGTGAATGATGTAGGCAATGTGATGTAGTGTTATTTTCAGGCCACAGTTGACTGTGATAACTGAAAGCATGGAAAGTGAAACCATGCATAAAAGGGAGACTGCTGTATATGACATTCTTGAAAAGGCAAAACCACAGAGACAGTAAAGATCACCATTGTGGTGAGTGATATTGATAATGGCAGAGGCTATGCATGTGTGGGAGCCAGGGTATATGGTAAATCTCTGTAACTTCTTCCTAATTTTTTTGTAAACCTAAAACTGCTCTGAACAAATAAAGTCTGTGAAAAATACAATAATTACAAGAGAGTTTGTAGGGATAGGGAAAGCAAGAGGAGCGCTATTAGATCAAAGGAGATATGCCTCTCCCCACAACCCTTTAACGTCTTTATTCCAGACTCTCACTTTCATCTGTTGACTTTATTTCTTTTTCAGCAAGAAAATTGAAGCAATCAGAGAAAAACTTTTATAGACTACCACTACTATATCCCCCAACTTTCTACATCTGGGCCCGTGCACTCTACCTTCCTCCTTGTTTCTATAGATGAGCCGAATATGCTCCTGGCCAAGGCTATCTCTTCACTTGTGCAGTAGCTCCCATGCCTTCTTGCCTACTCAAGAACACTGTTCCAGTAATTATATCCTCGTTCCTCTGATTGTCTATCTTTCCATTTATATTTGATAATTTTATCAGCACAAAAATATGCTATTTCTCTCATCATTAAAAAATAAATTATCTGACTTCTTTTCCCTTCAAGAAAGCCCCACGTCTCTCCTCCCATTACAGCAAAATTCCTTGAGACATTTCTCTATACCTGCAATCCTTAATTTCTCTGCAAGCATTTTCTCGTGAATCCACTGTTTTAGGATTTCATCTCACCACCCTCCACAACTCTCTCATTAATAGCACCCAATGGCTGTCTTTGTGTTAAGTCTTCAAGACACTGTAAGTTTAGTTTTTTCCTGCCTCTTAGGACAGTCCTTCTCAATCTCTTTTGCAGGTCTTACTTGTCTTGTCTCCAGCCTCTAGTGTTGGCGTGTCCCAGGGCTCGTTCCTTGGATGTCTTCTCTAATCTATTTCTCTTACCTCTGCAGATGATCTTATCTAACAATATATATCTACGTCCAAATTTGTATTGCTAACCAGACTTTCTCCTGAACACCAGACATATATATCTTTACTAGTTTCCTATTGCTGCAGTAACAAATTACCACAAACAGGTTTAAAACAACACAAATTTATTCTCTTACTGTTCTAAAGGTCAAAAATCTAATATCATGGTGTTAGTAGAACTGCTTCCCTTCTGGAGACTTTAGGAAAGAATCCATTTGTTTCTTACTTTTTCAGCTTGTAGAGGTTGCCTGCATTCCTTAGCTCATGGCCACCACTTTACATCACTCCAACCTTTTGCTTCCATCATCATGTCTCCCACTACTGACTCGTATCTCCTGTCTCCGTCTTATAAGGATCTTTGTGCTTATATTGGATTCATGCAGGTAATGCAGGATAATTCATCCCTCTGAAGATTCTTAATCACACCTGTCAAGTCCTTTTTGTCACAACAGGTAACATTCATGGGTTCTAAGGATTAGGACATGAACATCTTTGGGGAGTCATTATTCAGTCAACCACAATATCCAATTGCCTACTGAAGTCTCTATTTTAATGTCATCTCAAACATCAAATGGCCCAAACTGAGCTTCTGAGATTCCCCTACAAACCAGCTCTTCTGTTAATGGCAACTCCATTCTTAAAATTGCTTTGGTCAAAATATTTGGCGTTATCTTTGATTCATGTATTTCTCTAAAAATCCCAAATCCAATTCTTCAATAACCAAATCTTGTTGGTTCTGTGATCAAAATTCAGAATTCTATCACTTATTACCACCTCCAATGTCACTAACTTGGACCATGCCACCATTATCACCTACATATATTATAGCAGTAGTTTTGCTTCTAGTGCCTTGTAAGCTATTCTGAACACAGTAGAGCAGCATGAACATAGTAAAACTGAAACCAAATCATGATTCTTTTCTGCTCCAAGCCCTCAAATGTCTTCCCACCTTATTTTTAGTAAAAGACAAAGTTCTTGGTATCTGTATGCCCTGTTCCCCCACCCATACCCTTCTTCTCTTTCTATCCTCATGTCCAGCTTCTCTCCACCTTGCTCACTCAGGTCTAGTCACATTGGCTTTTATGCTACTTCTTGAACTTGCCAGACTTGATACTTTCTTACCCTTCTGCACTGGCTCTTCTCCCTGCAATAATGTTCTTGTTAACACCCTCATGATTTTCTCACTAACTTCCTTTGGGGTTTTACACAAATATCGCTTCTCAGTAGGACCTTCCCTGGCCTCGTATTTGAAATATGAATTCCTTTTATAACCAACATTCTTGCTTACCTTTTCTCTTTAGTAATTGTTATCATTAATTCGCTAGGTATTTCACTTACGTTATTTATGCTTCTCACCTCCACAAAAATATAAGATCCATGAGAGCAGAAAGTTTTGTGCACATGGTCCAATACTATATACCCAATGCTGAAACAGTGCATGAATCATACAGGATCAGTTAGTTAACAAATTAAAAGTGCAAAGTTGTTATTCAAAACTTTTTTCTATGTGTTGCCTACAATCATAAGGTTTTAGGTACCTATTCATTGTAATCTCTTCAATCTTCTAGGAAGACCGCATATAGAGAAGTGAGACAATACTCCTGACTTAGAGCAGAAAACCTGGAGATCCCTTTCACTATTGTGTTTCTAAAAGCCTTGAAGAATTTCTGTCTCACTCCAAGTGCCGCTGGATGCCATATATGGACATTTCTCCAATCATGAAATTATGGCCTACAGAAATAAAAATGACCTCTACAGAAAAAAATGGCCTCTATATAAGGTTGTTTTTGCATATAATGGGCTACATTTACTCATGATACTGAATTTCTTCTCATTCAAAAATATAACTAAGTCACATAAAATAAAACACTAGAATTATTGGTATAACTGTTATTTCAGGGGCTTGACTAGAACGAGATTATCGCTGCAGTTACTGCTTTTTCATTTCACCTCAGGCTCCAATATGGCTTGGTACTAAGTCTGTATTTAAAAATTAGATATTTTGTTCATCATGATTTTTTTCATCAATGCATTTTTTTGCATTACTTTTTATTTCTTAAATATTTCATCAAATATTATTTATCTTAATTACTAAGCTTTTTGGAAACTCTTTAAATTTTATGCCTGAGGCAAGTTCCCCACTTGCCTCGCTGTCATCCCAGCCCTGTTTCATACAAGCTCAACTGTAAGAGAGTAGATAAATATGAAGAATACCTCCCATGTGCCCTTGTTTGCTTGCTATATTACACCCAGCAGAACTAGACCTATCTATTTTACTGACCAGGATGTTTTCTGCCCTCATCACAAAATTTAGACCCATACTTAGCACAGCTATGGGAGCATATGCCCTTGAGATCATTGAAAAATGTTTCAGAATTAAAAATCATAATAATCCTTAAACAAATCTATTTAAAGCCTCAGTTTAATTATTGAGAAAGTATATACAGAGAGCAAACATTAAATATAAGTTCGCATATGGGAATTAAGAATCCCACTAGACACACAAGAAAATAAAATGAAAGCTATTAGAATTATTAAGGATTCAGTATAATGACCATCTAAAAAAATACAGAAATCAATAGCTTTTCTTCAGAACTTCACAAAGCAGTTGGATAATATAACAGGAAAATAGAATACAACAAAAGTTAACTGAGACGTTTAATACATGACAGAAAAAAATGAAGTGTCATTACTTACTTGGATTGAAAATGATAACACCAGAAATCTAAATTCTTACGTTAATTCACATATTTAGGATAATGCCAAATAAGGAACAATGGTACTTTTAAAACTTGGGGGAATTTGACTTCCAGAATGGCAGACTAAGGACCTCTGAAAATCCCCTTCTCCATTAAAGCAACCAGAACATTTTTGGCAAAAATGTCAAAATCAACCTTTTCTGAACTCAGGACATTAAGCTAAAGGATTGTAACAATATGAGGAGTGTTTATACAAGAAAAACAGCTTAATCTCTGTAAGAATAGTGTAATTTGTGGAATTTTAACTTGCCCTCATATTATCCCCCGGTCCTCAGCTCCATTATAACCTTAAAAATTGTGTCTTGCAAATACAATGGCTGTTAAAACCAGCAATTTGGGGCAGAATCATCTAACAGCTCCCCAAAAGTTGTATCCCCAGAGATTTCTTACTATTTTACTTGTTTGGCAGCTTGCTGAAAATCACCATGCTCAAGATTTGTCTTTCTTTGAGCTTAGTCAAAGCTCTCACCTTGAGTAAGGAGCTCTATCTCCAGAGCTTGTCAAAAGCAATCATCAGCAATTGTTTAACTTCACATCTGTCTGAGGTGGCATTACTTTCTGGGACTAACAAGACACTGACCAAAAAACTTAAAAGACAAAAACTGGGGACTGAAATGTTCATAAGGTGCTCTGAAAAGCTAAAACATATTCCAGAAATCTAGAAGGCCACACATATGCTCTGGGCTATGCGCATGCCCAAGAAAGAACTAGGAAGACCCTAATCTCTCACCTCTAGCTGAACTTAAGACTGTGCAGCAGGAAGTTAAGACTAACGGAGAGTGGTAAACTGCCTGTTATAGCATTAAAATTAAGCCCCAACACACACAGGGCTTCTCAAACAAAGAATGTGAGGCTTATTTGATCCAGGTATTTAAGGAAATCTCTGTCTAATCATTAGCTAACCACTAGGCAAATCTAGCATAGATTTCAGTAGCCACACATGACAAAGAATACAGCCTGTGCATAATTAATCTACGAAAATCACTGCACAAACAGCAACAACAAAAACAAAATATCCTGGGGAGAAGGGAATCTGATCTCTAGAATTGCCATAATATATTACTTGTTTATTTATTTTTAACACCCTTATTGAGGTATAATTTATATACAAAACAATGCATGCATTTAATGAATATATTTAGATGAGTCTGGACATAGCCATACACTCATGAAACCATTACCACAATCAAAATAATAAATATATCCATCACCTCCAAAAGTTTTCTCATGTCCCTTTGGTTCTCTTATTTTATTTTGTTGTTTGTAAGAAATCTACCCTCTTAACACATTTTTCAGTGCACAATACAGTGTTGTTAATTATAGGCACTATATTGTAGAGCAGATCTCTAGAAATTATTCATCTTGCATAACTGACACGTTATACCTATTGAACAACAATTCTGCATTTCCCCCTCCCCAACCGCTGGAACCACCATTACTTTTCCACCTCTGTATGTTTAGCTACTTTAGCTACCTCACATAGGTGGAATAAAGCAGTATTTGTGTTTCTGTGACTGGCTTATCTTATTTAGCCTAATGTCCTCCAAGTTCATCCATGTTGTCATTTAGGGTAAAATTTCCTTCTTTTTTAAGGCTGAATAACATTTCATTGTATGTGTATACCACATTTTCTTTATCTATTCATCCACTGATGAACATTTAGTTTTTTTTCCATATCTTTGGTATTGTGAATAGTGCTATAGTACTTAAAATGTTTAGTTTCCAATAAACAATTATGAGCCACACAGATAAACAGGAAAGTATGATACATACACAGAAAAAATAGAAGTCAACAGAAAAAGTCCCTGAGGCAGTCCAGATGTTCAAATTGCTAGACAATAACTTTAATTCAACTATTGTAAATGCTTTCAAAAAAGCTAAAGAAAATCATGTCTACAGAATTAAGGAAAATTATAGAATGATGTCTCATGAAATAGAAAATAACAATAATGAAATAGAAATCATATGAAAGAAAAATTGAAATCCTGGAGTTGAAAATACAATAATTGAAATGAAAATTCACTAGAGGGACTGAATAGCAGATCTGAATTAGAAGAAGAAACAATTAGCAAAGTTGGTAGTAGGTTGTATTAGTTTCCTCAGATTGCATAACAAATTACAACAATCTGAGTAGAATAATACAACAGAAATTTATTACTCACAGTTATGAAACCTAGAAGTCTGAAATCAAGTTCTCAGGAAGATGCTCCCTCTAAAGGCTCTAGGGAAGAGCCCTTCCTTGCCTCTTCCTAGTTTCTGGTGGTTGCCAGAAATTCTTAATGTTACTTGGCTTGGTTAGATGCATCAATCCAATCTTTGTCTTCATCTTCACACGGTGTTTCCTCTCTGTCTCTGTTTCTCCCCATGACCTTCTTAAAAGGATGCCAATCATTGGATTTAGGGCCCTCTCTGATCCAATATGACCTCATCTTAACTAAGTACTTCTACAAAAACACTTTTTCCAAATAATGTCACATTCTGATGTTCTGGGTAGACACAAATTTTGACAGATACAATTTAACTCAATACTTTGGTCAAATAAGATTATCATGTCTGAGGAACAGAAAGAGAACATAATGAAGAAAAATTATCAAAGCCTTAGAAGGACCTTATCAAATATACAAACATAGATCTAATGGGAGTCCATTAAGGAGAGAAGAGAAAGAAAGGGGCATAAGGATATTTATTTGAAGAAATAATGGCCCCAAACTTCCCGAATGTCATGGAAAACGTTAATCTGCATCTCCAAGAAGCTCAATGATTTCTGACTAGGATAAACTTGGCACAAATATCTGGGAATATCATAGTGCAATTGTTGAAAGCCAAAGGAAAAAGAGAATCTTGGAAGGAGCAAAAGAAAGTGACTCATCAATTACAAAGGATCTTCATATAGATTAAAAGCTGACTTTCCATCAGAAACCATGAAGTCCAACACACGATGAGATGGCATATTAAAAGTACTAAAAGAAAAAGACTGTCAACCAGGAAATATATATCCAGTATAACTATCCTTCAAAATGGAGAAATCAAGACATACCATGATAAACAAAAACTGGGAAAATTCATTGTTAGCAGGCCTGCTTTACAAGAAATACTAAAGGGAGTCCTTCTGGCTGAAATAAAAGGAAACCACTCAGCAATGTAAGTATAGAAATAAAGAGCACCAATAAAAGTAACTACATAGGTAAATAAAGAAGGTATATAAATGTATTTTTTCTTGGTAATTCTTTTTTGCTCCTATCTAATTTAGAGACAACTGCAGATAGCAATAAGTATGAAACCATGTCAATGAGATCATAATATATAAAAAATGTAACTTTTATGATAATAATGGTACAAAGAATGGAGAATAGCAGAGACATATTGGAGAAACTTTTATATACTATTGAAATTTAGTTGGTATTAGTCTAAAGCATGTTGTTATAAGTAAAGATGTTAGTTTTAATCCCCAGGCAAACCATGAAGAAAATAATTCAAAAAAATATAGTAACAGAAACAATAAAAGAATTAAAATGGTATACTACAAAATATCTACTTAATACAAAAATGTAAGTAATAAGGGGATGGAAGAATAAAAAAGACAGACAGAAAAAAAGGAGGAAAATTGCAGACACAAATCTTATCTTATAATTGTACTGAATATAAGTGGATTAAACACTTCAATCCAATGGTAGAGATTTGCTGAATGCATAAAAAAGCATGACCCAACTATATGCTGTCTACAAGAGAAACGTTTTAGATTCAAAGACACAAATAGGTTAAAAGTAAAAAGATGAAAAAAATGTATATCGTGCAAAAAAATATCCAAAAGAGAGCTAGAATAGTTATGCTAATATAATTTAAACTATGCTAATATAATTTAAAATAAAATTGTTACTAGGGGCAAAGGACATTTTGCAATAATAAAAGGGTAATCGATCAGGATGACGTAATACTTATAAACATGTATGATAAAAAACAGCCCCAAAACGCGTAAAGCAAAAAAAAA